GGTTATGTACAAGAAAAGAATACTGTTTGTCTGTATTTTACGTAATAACAAACACAAAAAAAACTACTTGCGACACATTACCAGTTGCGCACGCAGAGAGTTGAGAATCTCACTAACCGGTTGCGCACGCAGAGAGATGAGAATTTCACTCTATCCTGTTGGCAAACTGGATGTAGCCGGCGACTAGGCTTATTAGCCGGCGGATTTTGCTATGTAAAATTCCATCCCAAACTGACTTGGGCTTAATAGGCGGCTGGGCTTATTAGCCGTGGGCTTAATAACTGGCGACTACTGTAGTCACTTTGGACTGCGCTAGCCGGGGAGAGTTAGCACAGAAAGTTTTCTCCATTTCGTCCATTAAGGGTTCTGTGTGATTTTAATTCGTCTGGCCAGATCTGGCCTCCTATTTTAAAGATGTTCAGAGGTATTAAAGCAATATTTATAGAGATCCGAGGCATACGGAACACTTAAAACAAACAGCCCCGAGAATTGATGTGTCCGCGCCTATTGTTTATGATCATTCACGATCTTTGACACCGGCATAGTTCGATTTCCCTAAAAATTAATCGACAATGACCTGAATCTCCCGCTCTCTCTTCCAGAAAACTTATGAATCGTGCAACAACTCCTAAAGCACCAGCTATTACAGACATGCTAAGGGAAAGGAACTTACATCTACACTGCCTTTATTGATCTGAAGAACGCATTTGGCAAGATAAATTGTGGTGGACTGTGCAAAATCCTGCAGATATTCTGTTGTCCTGAGCGACTCATATATGTGGTTTGTCAGCTTCGCGACAGGATCTAGACGGTCTACTAACTCTGCAGCTCCAAGGGCTACATCGTTGAAGGTTATTACTCTACCGTGTTCACACTACTGCGACTCAACAGTGGGTCCTCCAGCAACCCCTGTTTGCTTTCTGGTTGAAATGTCAGCTTTTTTATTTCCTCAGCAAATTCATTTCTCAAGCCAACTAGATCAGTATATTCAAGGATCCAAAGGTGTAGGCCGAAATTTGATATGGATATTTGGGGCGAAATCCATCAACCACTGTGCGATAACCGCGCAATTTTCAGAAGCTATGTTCGAGTAGTCAGTAGTGTAATCTACGTAGATACTGACGACACTGGTAGCACTTGAATGTGCCTGCTCACCGCTTTGACTTAAATGGTTCCAGCGAATGAAGGCCCTGCAGGTTCCAGACAATAAAGGTTTCGTTGAGACACCGTATGGCAAACTGATGAAAAACATTCGTTGTGGGGGTTTGTGGACGTACACAACGTCAACTGGCTTGGCGAGAACGACGCGGATATGGGCAACTTACTGGTCGATAAAGAACAGCCCCTCATCGACTGCCGGACTAACACCACCAAAGTGGCCATCTTCAGATTTCGCCGCCTTGTGCGGCAACGGCTGCGGGAGATGTGGGACGCCTGGATGCATCGTAATTTCGAGAAAATTCACGGGTACGGTGATCGCAAAGAAACGAAAAATCTACTGAATCTTCGTCTAGGCAACCGGCTGTCAAAATAATCGTGCCGCTGCTCACCTCCAAAGGAACAGCTCTCCTGACAGAGGAACCGCAAAAATTGACGAGTTGAGCCGAGCGGTTTTTAAGCACTCTCAACTGTTCATTCAGGATCTCCGACGCCAACATGGACCGACTCCCACAAGAAGCAATCGACAATGACCTCAATCTCCGTCCCAAATTCTAAAAAACTTGAATCGTGCAACAATTCTTAAAGCAGGAAAGCATCGAGATCCGGCACCGATCCGGTGCGATCCCGACCGAGGTCTACAAGCCTGACGGCTCAGACTGATGGAGAAACTGAAAAATATATTCCAGGCGAGGATGTGCCATGAACAAGTTCCACCGGACTTCACGGAAATTACCATCATCCATCTCTATAAGGTAGCAAGGTAAACCAGGAGCTCTGTGATACCTTGAGAGGAAACTTGCTCCTCAATATTATCAGGAAGTTCTCTGCACACATACTTCTTATTTGAGTCTGAACAACCACCGAGAACAAGGACTTCTCCCGGAAAGTCAGGGTGATTTTCGACGACAGCAAAGTAACCGAATGAGCTTCGCCGCCAACCAGCTACAACAGAAATGCTAGGGCTTACAAACTCACTTCTACGCTATCTTGATTAATCTGCGAACGCCTTTAACAAGATAAATCGTGGTAGAGTGTGCAGAGTCATAAAAACATTCGGCTGTCCAAGGTGACGCATGTATATAGGGCGCCAACTTCACAGCGGAATCTAAATTTTCTGCTAATTCTACAGCTACAATGGCTAAAACTTTGAAGGTCATTAATCTTCCACGTTCATCTTACTGCGGAGCCCTGCGTTGGCTGTACAAGTGTTGAAAAGCTACTCTGGTCTTATTTTGATTTTAAAAGGCGGTAACTTCTCTCCGATCATGTTTCTTCAGCCTTCGAGCTCTAAGCCAAATTCCAATTTTGAATCACCCAACATATACCAGTAATACTTGCAGGCTGAGATATAAAAAGTTTAGTTAGTCGGCATTATTACTGACTAGACTGGCAGCACAGGTACTACCTAAACACTCCGATGCGTGCTATGTCGGTATTCTGCCGCTGCCCAACACAGCTGCTAGGGGTCCGACTCATCAGTGGATCCCCCAGGTTTAGTTAGTGCAAAAGATCGCAACAGTTATTCAAATGAGATCAAGCAAAAGAGACGCGGCACGGCTTCTCTAACTCAAAAACGACGTATATAAAAGAACTGACCAAGTGCTGATAGACTTTCCACACAACACCGTCCATTTCGCGCAGCTTAGGGGCCACGTTGGCTCCTCGGGTGCCCTCGACGTGTCCAATGTGGTCCAGGCCGAGATAATGTAACACCATTGCATCCCATTCAGTGACAGCTGGAATACGGTCGTCAATGTGTCTGGTCACACTTGAATCAACCTGTCGAGATAAATAAACAGCGCATCCCTCTGGATCATAAGTAAGTTGCTTCGAAATTACAAAATGGTATGTGCGCCTTATAAGTAACACCGTAGTTTACTATAGCATAACTAATAAAATAAAAACTAAACTATACTAAATTAAACTAAAAAAACTAAATAATACACTTTAAAGATAACTAAACCAAACTAAAACTTAACTTAACTAATTAAACAGCGCTAAACTTAAACGAATAAAAATAAATGATAAACAATTAAACAAATTACTAAACTGCACTAAATAATGAACTACAACGAAATAAAGAGCTAGTTATCTGCTAGTAAACTACAGTTTTACTTATAGGGAACCTATACCTACAATTTTAACGATACGTTGCCAATGTCATCGTGAATCTTATGGAAAGTAGGAACTTAATAAGCACTAAACAAGGGGCTTGGTTCGAATGCATCCACTCACGATCAAAACTGGTAGTAAGAAACTATCAAAAGCACATTTTTGCTTTAAGAGCTGACAGTTGGAATATCACTAATCACATTTCACTATTCGTAGACTTCTTGTCCATGACAAATGTTTTCCTATGTGCAGATTAATACGGTAACATTCGGCTTACCACGACTTCGATAAGTATTAAAAGTTCCCCTATAAGGAAAGTAGTGCTGGAATACTTTTAATACATCGTTGACGCATTAGACATTCATTTGCATGATTGCAGGATTTCTAGTTAATATATTGCAGGAGTCGCCTCCAGTGTCTGTTCTGCCGCAATTGAATGAACAAAGCGTTCTTCTTTTGATTAGACGGTTGGTAATTAGCATTTTAGACAATACCGACAACTTGGAGTCAGGGGGATTTTACTGTCTACATATAAAGGCATGAATTTTAAAGGAAAATAGCCCATCTGTAAAAATTTACAAGAACCATGAAGAGCATGTCCTAACTTAAGCAGGTGTGTATTACCACTCGATTATTCTTTCAGGATTTGCGGGACATTTTGATATCAACGACAAGTACAATGCACGAGCTCTGTGGACGATAAAGCAGCCAGGAAGTTCCCAGTGAGGACCGAACGTTTTCTATTCAGATTTGCACAATTGAATCAGCGTAAACATATCCAAACACACAGAGCATTCCTCTGAGATATACGTATGGAACAAGATGATTACATTGTCGACAATTCGTCGCCAATTTTCTCATGAGGGGCAAAAAATATATACATTAACAAGGGCTACATTTGGTTCAAGTACACTTATTCGTTTACAAACCTTCGTTAATGACGAACATAGGAAAAAAATAAATATTTAAGGACAATTTAGGTACGAACAGAAAGTTTGAATTTTTTAGTCAAACCTTTTGTAGTCAGCAAATATTTCACCCAAGTAAAATTGCGAATGAAGTGCTATTCGGTATGCACAATAAAACATTCCGCGACTTCGCTCAAAATCCAAAGCACTACAATGAGGAAGTTTGCCCCGAGATAAATACTATCACAATGAATAAGAAGAAAACGTAAAAGCAGAATATGAAAGTGAACGCGATTGGTGAGCCAAGAAATTTATGCTCTGACGTGTCGGATTCTCTCTCGAACCCATCATCAGCAAAAATAGCAGAAACTTGGAGTTGGAGTCACCAAATAGCCGGAGGTAATCATTAAGCAACAAAACGAAATATTCACTGCAACGGCAGCAAACATCCGGAGTCGTCTATTCGAGTTGGTGCAGTTGTGGATAAGGCGACTGCGTCAGAGAAACTGGTAAACTTCTTCGAACGCTGATTATCGAGTACGCGGCAGTTGTGAATAGAAATGACGCCAATGTTCCAGTCGCAGCTTAATATGAACAGCGAAATGCTTGGACGCGATTCACGGAAACCCAGTCTGCAGACAAGTTAAATGAATTCCCCAACGGATATCCGATGGAGAAACAAAATTTTGTCAAAGCAATTCAACACTCGGGGAGTGCACTGGTGAAGACTTCTTCCAACGTAAGTGCCGGTGCGCCAGGTGGCAGAGCAAATAGCATGCCAAATTCCAGCATAAATGATGAAACTTCAGCAGATTACAACCAGCATGCAACCTATCTATCAATTAGCGCACAAGCGCACAACTATCCCCGATACGGGGATAGACGTTAATTGTCATAGGTATGCAGTGGCATGGAGACTGCATTCTAATGGTACTGCAACGTCCTGTGCACGAACTACCCCTTTCACATTTTGTCCCTGATGATGGGTTCAAGGGAGAAGTTGAAACGTCAAGCGAATAAAGTAAATGTACCAGAAATCGCGTCTACTTTTCCTCAATTACTTCCTTGGACCCACATTTTCTCCCATATCCTTAGCTCTTCTTTTACCGATATCATGGATCGCATAATGTATATCTACGGCTTCGTAGCGGCCGTCTTTAAAGTTATTTTTGTTACTACAGAAGTTCCGGTACGCAGATCTGTAAGGCAAAATCGACAGTCTGATAGAGAACAAATTATTGCAGCTCGATATCAGCATGCAGTTGAAAAATAAGGGAGAATAATCAGAATTCAACTCAGTATGCGCTACTACTCGAATACATTTTAGGAGCCGTGGAAGAATTCGATCTCATCTCAAGCAAAACACTTTATAGACGTGTATAATAAAATGGCCACAAATCTGGCACTACAAACAACACGTCATCGGTTGAGGCTTGCCAGCAAAACGTCACTTCCCGTTCCCAAAATATAATTGCTGTCCGCAAGTTCAGCACGTACCTCGTAAAAGTCCGTTATAAAAAAGGATGACAGGCCATCGGCTCGGGTGAACGCGTATGGAAATAATTTGAGCCATGTGTTATCCCCATAGAGCTCCAAACGCTTGCGTCTGTCGAAAAGGCGTTGAACCCACGAATCCTGCGTCACAACTGACGATTTAGTGTTCTCGATGGCGTCAAGGAATGCTGACAGGCGGCCCGTAGCCATAGTCTAGGTTGAAAATGAGTGACTCTGACGAGCATAAGAGAAATAACACACCTTCAGTCGTGGTCCAGTGACAGTAGGATATGACAGTGTTGTTGTGGAACACTCCACAATCCCCTGTTGCATAATCTTTTTCAGCATCGGCCAATTCTCAGAGTACTTAGGCGATGAGATCATGTCTGAACGCAATCCATCGATCACCATCACAATGATGTTATTCGTAGCTGCTGTCGTACTGTTGTTACTTTCAACTATAAACGTGAACGGTTTAGAAGTAGACTCATGCAAATACCTGGCTTGTTGGGAAGCTGGAGAGAGTTTGAGAACAACCCCGTGATGCCTATGTAGAGAGCAAAAAGGAATGCTGCGAAACGCAAGCATAAGGAGAGACCGAGGAAAAGCATTGCTTCTTTTAAGGATGCTTAACACCCACTGACCTAAAAATAAGCGGTTAATCGTTAGCATGTAAAGTTTAGTAGCTTAAGTGGAATGGTATCTAATGCAAAACCCTCCCACAAGTATTCATTCAGCAAAGTTCGAAAAAATTTGTCCGCTGCAACAACGGCGTTCGCGATTTCACCTAGAGCAAAACCGACTTCTGCAACTCAATAGACAGACATGAGTAGGAACACTTTCCGTAGCTCCTGTGCGTCCGCAGCGGCTCAGTTGGTAAAACGGTGTGACATTTCTTTCACAAGAACGACCAGGACAGTGAATTACCATGAACAAAATACCGACTTGGTTCAAATCATCCTGACACCCCGAACAGGCAAAAGCGATTGCAATGAAATAAATAAGCATAAATACACCTACTTAACTGCATATACAGGGTGCCCCACGAAAAACCCCTAAATTTATGATAATGTTTATACT